GCAATTCCTAAATCAAGAATATGTTCCACATCAGTAGAGCTGCAAAAGTTCAAAATAAAACTCTAACACTCTCAAATTTGTTGTGCTCCTTTTTTGTTCATACATTGAATCTTGTATTAAATATATATCTACTTCAAAGAATGTAAAAGGAAAGGACATAACCTATGCAAACTTTAATTGCATCACAAACATGGTAAGCAATGTGAGCTTAATTAAGACATTCATCATGAATCACTCAATGAGATAATCATTTTTTCAACTAATTTGTAAAGCTAAAAATGTTGGCTATAACATAAGCTCATTTATACTTGGATGATTCAAAATAATAAAATAATGATCATAGACCAAGTGATTAATGACGAGTGGAGTATGTATGCATATAGAAGGTGAGAAAAAAAAAAGTATATAGAAGGTGATATAGATAAGACTAAATTTGTTAAGGAGAAAATATTAGATGAATGGAAGTGGAACAAAGTAGACTACATTATTGCTTTTACATAGACAATATATGATATGTTAAGAGTGACTAATATTGATAAGCCTTCTCCCCTCCTCTATGACATATAGGATATGATGATTAAGAAGGGGAAAGGCATTTTATATCAACATGATCAAAAAGAGAAAATGAGGACCTTTTATAAGGTAGTGTATGACATTCTTGTATAAAGATGGAATAAATAAAATAACGCTACACTTCACTATCAAGCTCACTCTCTCAACTCATGATAACTTTTAAATTTTACATTAATCTTAGCCAGCACAATTGAATAACTAAGAATCTGATAGGAAGTGCTTGTATTCACAAGCAACCTATTCAAAATCGGCGAACCAACAGCAGCCAAATGGCTGTCCACAGCAGGAAAACAGCAGATTTCTGCTGTTTACAGCAGGAAAACAGCACTTGTTCGGGAAAATACGAGAGAATAACAGAATCTTAATTGTTAAATGAATTCTGTTATTAGGTACTACAACCACTCTTGGTCAAGTCACATGCATAAAGATATTAAGTGACACTGTTCATATTAACTCCTACTAGTTATTATTGCTATATGTTTAGATTGATGATGATGGGATGATTACATGCATACTACTTCTATTGTCTTCAATTCATTGCAGCTGTAGATTTTGGTAACCTAATGAGCTATTAGCTCACCCCGTAACTTTTCTATTTTTTCAATAAGGGTTTAGAAACTAGTGGAGTGAGGCTGAACAGGGTTTCCATGTCTTATTTTATTTTCTATATTTTAGTTTTATTCTTTTGTAACTAGAAATATCAATGATAGAATGATGTTAGAAATAAATTCTTAGTTATTGTACATAAATTTTGAGAAATGAATATAAAATTGCAAGTTGATGAAGAATGATTTATAGTTGCTTTCGTGGTTTATTAATTAAGATATAAAATAGGTAATTATTTTAGATCTTCGGGCATCACACAAATATTATTATTAATAATGACCATATTGTACTAACTCCAATTATAAAGAAGAGAGCATTGATATTAACTTTTTGAGATATTTTTGACAATTTTTAAGAAAAAACATGTGACAATTAAAACAGATTAATGAATGCTTGTGCCATAAAGATTATTTTTTTATCATTATTACTAATGTTTATTTTTCTTCTATTATTATAAATTTATTTGAAGAAGTATATGTGGTAATTTACACTTGAAAGGGATTAATTGTACCTCATCTTGTGATGTCTTTAGGTGAGAATAGTATAAATTATAGAATTCACGGTAACAATTTCTAAAATATAACAATTTCATGACTTGTCGTGCTCGTTTCAAAAAATTTCCTTCTGGAAAGTTGTAGATCTTATTGAGCTAATGAAAATTTGTTATATGTATATGTATGTGTGTGTGTATAATGAGAAAGATATAGTCAAAATACCAAAACGTGATTATATGAGAAATTGGGTTGGGTTTCGACTTTGGGGATATTTAGTTATGATTTGGGTAATCATTGAATTTGTTATTGTAGGAGGATTGGACAGCTTATAATACTATGATTAATGGCTCGATTCAGACTATTGACTCTCTTACAATGATATTATCTTTAGTTAGATATTAACTAATAGTCTTGTAAATTAATCTTTAAAAATGCTTTAACATCAATAGAAATTAAGAGAATAAAGGAGTGAAATATAAAGAGGGTGTCTTCTTTGCCCAACTCGTTATCTATCAAACTTAACACAAGCAAGCTCAAGATTCTCCAACAAGCAAAAAACTCATGCTCTGTTTGACTCGCTTATTATTGAGTCAAACACAAACCATACACCAAACTAAGTGAAGTTTATGACCACCTATTGTATCAAAAAAAGTAATTGATTGATCCAATTGCATTAAAATATATTTACAATTTGTCATACTAAAAGGGCTTTTAAACATTAAAAAGTTCAAAATATCTGTTGTCCATAATTTCATATCATTCTTTATGATCCTTTTTTGGTAAAACAAATGAGTTGAAGTAAAATGTATTACTATGTATGTGTGTGTATAAGTCTTTATTTGTTTATTCATATCAAGATCTTAAAAAGTCAAATATAATTGAGCAAACCCTTTTCATTTTATTAATAAATGAGAGGAAAAAAATTCTGGTTCAAACATTACTTTTTTAACAAATAAATCAAACACAAATAATTTTAAGCTAAGCATGAGCTATCTGCAAATATCAAGCTATTTTTAAACCCTTGATAATAGCACCAAATAAATATTTTGAATTTATATACCTAATACCTAAACTTTCATATTTACATATATAACAAAAAAATTTTAAAATCGTAAAAATTTCAGTCATTAAGGAAATGTATGCAAGAGTTGTTACTTGTATTCAAAAACAAGGTGGTTTGACTAAGTATTTTCTTATTTTAGTTAGATTACATCAACGACAAGCTTTAAGTCTATGTATTTTTGCTTTAGTCATGGATGTTCTTACTAGACATTTGCAAGAAGATGTATCTTGATGTATGCTTTTTTATGATATTCTTCTTGTTCATAAGACTAGAGAGGGAGTGGATTTGTTAAAAAACTTGAATTATGAGATCAACCTTATAAAAGGTTTTTGCTTAAGTTGATCTAAAACCAAATACGTGGAATTTAATTTTAATAGTAATAGATCTAGTGGTGGGATTGTGGTATTGAGTGATCAAGTCATTAAAAAAAGTGCACGCTATAAATAACTCAATCTAATGTTCAAAACCGAACTCACGCAATATGATAAAGGTTTGTTATTGTTGTTGTATCAAAAATACTACTAATAATAACTTTTTTAAAATGAAATATATTTTTCATGCATAAATTTTAATCTAATCAAGACACTAAATTGTTATATAAGTAAAATGTCAAAATTTAGGTTTTTGATATGTAAAAATATAAGAATTGTGTGGCAGGTGTATATCACTTAATTTTTTAGTGGCCTCGCCTCAAAATTGAATTCATCGATAAAACCCCTACCAAATTTCTCAAATTTGATTCCTTTGATAGCGTTATCCTTTGTGGTGATTTCCTCTGCAATAACCTCCTTTTGTTGGTCCACTTCTACAATCTTATCTGTTTGGCTTTGTGATCCTCCAAAAAATTGCTTCTCTATTAACTATTTGATATCCTTTGTTTCTATGCGTCGTCTTCTACTGCAAAAGCAAAGACAATTTTCTACTATTGCAATTCAATCATGGGACTTGCAACCCCTTACACTTTTTGTTGTGATTGGGTGCAACGATTTTATAGGTTGTTTGTCAATGTAGATGATTGCAAGGGTCTTTCAAAATTATAAATAGAAGTCTTATGCTAGCACAAAATGTAATAAATTCTATTCTGCATAAAGTTCCAATAAGATGCTACCCTTCTTTTGCTTTCAGAAATCAAATCCTCAATAAAGTGGGATAAGTGATCAAGGGGAAGGGAACTAAGAGATTATGCCCTTGCATAAGCATATGGCTTAGTCCAACTACTTTGGTGACTTATTTCCTTCTATTTTTATTTATTGTTCTAAATTTCATTATTAAATTGACTGTGTGAATAAAATTACACAAGTTTAATATAATATGCATTTCAATGAGCGCGTGTATTTCAACTTGTTGGGTGATTTTTTGGTTCTAAAATTCCAAATGTTGTTTCTGGTACAAGGTTATTGAATCATCATCTGAATTGATGTTTTTTTTTTCATCCTTAGTATAAATTGTAGTTAAAAATTTATAGCTTCTGACTCACAAATTTTATAACACATCATAGTACCGGAAGATAGTAAATCCTTATGATGAAGGTACTTAACCTTAACTCACCAGACAAACTCCAAGGTTAAGACTGAGGTAGTTTAAAAAAAAAAAGACTGAGGTAGCTTTAAACAATATTGATATTAATTTACAAACTCAATAATAATATGACTTCTAAAAATATTTTGGTAACAATCTGACATTAATATATATAAACATAATTTCTAATGTACATATATCATTATTATTAGTATGAATATTAATATATTATTATTATCATATATGATATATATTTGTTTGATTCAATAATCAATATAATCTTTTTCTTATTATCTTTTATGTGTGCTCGAGCTCCCCACTCTTTAGCGAAATAGTTGGTCAAGTTCGGGTGTTCTGAGTCGATTTCAAGTGCACTATGTTTTTTGGCCTCAATTGTCATCGAATTCAATCGGACAACTTGTGGATCACATATACAAGTCAACAAGTGATATTCTCTCAGTCTGATCATCTACTTGGAAGCGTATAAGATATCTATATCAGATAAATGAAAACTCACTTGCTTATATGTGCCCTAATCTGAGAGAGGTTGAAGCAGTCTATACAGAAGATAAACATCAGAAAATCAATCAATGTTATTATTTAGCGGAAGCAAAATGAAATTAAATATGGACATAACGAATAATTTTTTTTCAATTTTCGGCACCTAAAAGAGAACCGGAGAATATGAATTGTGACAGTTGTATCAATAAGAATAATAACGAGGAATGAAGATAATGTGTACTCACAAACTTTAGGTTCCTTTCCATTCTAATCCATTTCAGGCCTCCTATCCGCCACAATCTTCCGATATTTGGCTTTCACCGGATTTATGACAAACCGTTGCTGGATGGTGGACTAACTGAATGCAACTCCACTACAATTTCCACGACAAATATAAACGAATCTTCTTCTATGCTGAAGATTTCACCGCTAGGGTCGCATCCTGGTGGTCAATCTCATGTGAAACTGAGAAAACAAACATAATAAGCGAAAATGTGGAGGTTAGACAGATCGTTGAATGGAGAATCGATCTGATCGAGATGTTTGATCGATTAGTTCGAGTAGGATTCAAACGTAGACTTGGAGGATATCTATGCCCGTCTCCTCTGCTGTCTCTTCGTTGCAAGAAAATGGTTCTTAGTTTCGAGTACCAGTCTTTCTCATCAATGGTCGCTTCTATGCTATGATGCCCTAACCCGTTTTCTCTGGCGGGAAATAAACAGCGCGACGGTTGCTCTAAATTCATTTATATAATAAAATATATTAATAAGGGTATTTATCCCAAATGGTTTATTAATCCTATTACTCGGACTCGAGGATTGGGGTGATGTTTATTTTAAACTTAATTTCATCTTTTAATAAAATATAATAATAATTTTTAAGTTTTAGCATATTTAACCAAAAAAATATATTTATATATAAACAACTGATCATTAGACATTCTTGAAACCTTTACGTAATGCTACTAGCATTTGTCTTAAAACGCATCAGTGCTGGAATTTACCATGAAATATGATAAATATTAATAATAATATAAGTGTTTCATAAAAACTCTAATAATACTATCAGTATTTCAACTTTCAGAAAAGCCTAGCAATAAAGTATATCCGTTATCAGTATTTGAAGAATAAGTTAATTAATATTTATTCTCCTTTATTGAATTATAAATTATTATCTTTTTAAAAAATTAATTGTGAAGAGTTTCATTCAAATAACATTTTTTTTCAAATCATGTCGGACAAAAAAATTAGAAAAATATAATTACTTAAGAAAATACCTCAAAGTATTTATAGAAAAAAAAATTGACTTTATATGCGCATATTAATATATATAATTGATTGAACAATGTTGTTATACATTATTTAAAGAAATATATCTTAAACATTATTTTGGTCTTATTTGCCTTAATTAAGAGAGAACCTATATTATATAAGCACATGCTTCTCATTGAGCACGTAAGCTAATCAAAAATTGGTTGAACCTAGTTAGAACAGAGGTACCAAACCTTATTCAAGTCACTATTAACACCCTCTTCGAACTCTCGTGAGAACTCATATTCTTCTTCATAAAAAATATATATTCTTCTTCATACATCTTTATTTCCATCAATGCCCCTACCCCCTTAAAATATGCTATTAGGCCATTCACATATAGAACATTGTCAAAAAAATCATTTTTATGAAACATGATATATATTGTTGATGGAGAGACTAGTTGAAAAAGTTAAGTAGAGCATAATATTTATATTAGCTTTATGTATATGGAAATATAAGCAGCAATACTGGGATTTACAATGTTGTTCCCATATCACGATTTTGATTGCTTCAAATAATGTGGAGCAGAAATTTTGAATCTGATTACTTCAACTAGAAATCATTGAAAGACAAGCATTTGTTGTTAGATTACTTAGGATTTAGGGTAATTTAGGAAATCATATATTAAGTTTGATATTAGCATAGAATCATATTGTATGGTCTTAATGTTGCATTATTACATATATTGTTAATGCTTATAAACAATTAAATTTTGCGCAATGTGGATGCCTATATAATATGTGAATTCACTTGCGGTTAAATTTAACGAGGATTAACAATTGGGGATTGCTACCATCAAAGTTCCTTTACAAGTTAATCTTCTCCTTCATAATCCTTCCTATCGTAGTAGCCTCCATTCCTAATATCTAATACATTGTATCTTAGATACGGTGGACAATATTAAACAATTTATTGATTTAAATATACATAGAAAATAGTAAGTCTTTTATGTTGTGATTACTAAATCTCAAACCCTAGAGTCATAATAGGAGCTATAGTGGATTTCAAAGAAAATGGGGGGTTTTACTTAGAAGAAATTGGCTAGTTAAAACAATTTTCCAACTCTTTTGAAAAGTTTTGGATGGTTCAAAACAAAGTGAGAAACATAAGTGCATAACATTTAAACTCATGAACCTTGACCCATTAGTTGTGGAGCGCTTTGGTATAGATTTCCTTCAAAAAAAATACATCGGAGCTTTGAATTCAAAGTTAAGTGTGAGTCAAAACATTATGCTTCATAGTGTGGGAGATATTCATTCCAAATTGTGTTGAAATTAGCTATGAAGTTATTTTTTTAGAACTATGGTTTGTAGCTATCCTAAATTGGGTTGTTATAATCATTTATCGAACCCTCTATTCTTCCATGTTTTGGACACATTCTATGTTATGCAAATTAAGCAATGAGTTGCCTAAATAAAAGTTTATTCTTAACATTTACTTACAAGTTCATTTTTCACCTAATATGGACAAGAGTATGATTACAAAATTCAATTTGGCTTTTGATTATGTCAATAGTGTCAATAATTTTCTAGAGTTTGTAAGCCCAAATCAAAATTCATGAAGATAATTTTTTTTTTCTGTGCAAGTCTTACATTAATAGATGCTTTCATTATATGAATGATGGCATGTATCACTTAATATCCAAAGGATTTTTTCCTAAATATATTTTATTGAATCAACATGGAGAAGAACATTGTGTTGTAGGCGAAAGTGCAATGAATAAAATATTTGGTGCCACATCTCATTTAGATGAAGCACTAGTTCATACTAAGAATACAAGTACAGATGATATAAAAGGATTATTAAGAGACACTTTTTGCCCAAATAACTCAACCATAAATTTATACTACATGAAAATCTATAATTACCGACGGCCACAATCCGCCAAAAATCATATATAAAATTCAGTCAGAAAATATGAATTTTCGGTGGAAATTCAGTAAATGGTAAAACACGCATCAGAAACCTTATTCCAGTGGATGTTCAAAATTCTAGCGGAATTGTGTGGAAATATTCATCATTTACGAGGCATTCTTAATGGAGGATATCCCGACAAAAAATTATGTCGGACATAAACCAGTGTAAATTTTTGACGGGTTATCCGTCGGAGCTTCTAACAGGATATTTTCACCGAAAATTTGATGCATTTTTGTCGTATCTCCATTTCTAGCCGATATTCCACTAGAAAACTACCATAAACATATAGATTAAAAAAAAGTACTCCCTCTTATGTTAATATTTTCTACAACACAATAAACATGCATAAAAATATGCATATATCATATTCATTCGGACATTAAACATAAACAAACATTTTTACCTTCACCAATCAATTTAATAACAATTTATTTTCTGGTGTATTTTTCACTGGAAGTTATTGTAGGTTTTACTTAAATCGACAGACTTGCTGGCAGAATATCCACCAAAAAATCTGTCGCTATATTACACAAAATATCAACTGGTTACACCATTGATTCTATCAAAAAATGTATTTTCACCTGAAATTTCACCGGTAAACCAAGGTTTTCCTATAGTATTGTTGATCTCATTTTTGTATGAGGTCACTTTTGACCCCTTTCTGAGTTTTGGACCTTAGGTTTCTTTGGACTGAAAATCATAGGATCTTCCTAGTCCCCAAACCTTAGGCTCAATCTAGATCTTGATTCATTCCAAACTCAAAATCTTTTGGTTAAGGACTCATGTCCTGAAGCCCTTTCTAAATGATTCTTCCATCACCTTGAAACCCAATCAATTGGTATCTGATTCAGGGTCTGTCAATTCCATATTTATGTGACATGTATCTAGTGCCAACCCTCCAAGTTTGAGCTCATTTGGAGGACTCTAACCCCGTTAACTAAATCCAGTTCCAAATATTGCAAAACCTTCAAATATTTACGACCCATGCCACTGGACCTATCACCTAGGAGCATTTGACCTTGGAGCTCCCTCCAAATCCTTTGATCACTTCCAAGACCTTGATATTGACTTGTTAAATAATGATCTACATTTTTCTGGGTTCAATTTGACACTGACCCAAGGCCAAAATGGCCAAAATGCCCTTAAAGGGGATTTTTGGACTTTTGGCTTAAATTCAACTTAATTTGACTCATCAACCTTTGAAATTATCTTAAATCATTTTTAAACAATAGTTGGGACTTATTGAACCCAATTCCAAGCCTAGGGTTAACCTGGTTGACCAGGCCAACCTAATTTGACCTAAAGGTCCCTTAAAGGTCAAAACAGTCATTTTGACTGAAATGACCTCCCCATGCCTTGGAATCTCTTCCAACACACTCAAGATATCATTCTAAACATGTTGACCCTAATCATTACCCTTGGGTCAACCTGGTTGACCAAGTCAACCTAGGTTCACCTATTAGCCCTTAAGAGGTCTAAATGGGTCAACTAACCCATTTGAGCTCTCCAACCCCTATGATCACCTATTCAAATTGACTCCTAAACATGACTTAAGCACAACTTGACACTTGGTCAACTCAACCCAACTTGAGTTGACCAAGTTAACTCTCAATTCTTGGTCAATCTTTGTGGCATTTGCTTCCATTCCTCCTAGCTTTGACCCTTGACTAAACCATGCCAAATGATTCCCCACATCCCCAAGTGCCACATCATCAACTTTGACCTTGTTGATTGGTCAAACCCATTCAACAAGGCCTTTAAACCTTTCTTTAAGAGGGTCAACTCCCTCCTTTAACCTCAAATGCATTGGCCTTAGGCTTGGGGTCCCTCCCATCTACTGCTCTCACTCCCCTCATGCCACCTCAGCTCCCTTGACCTTTTGACTGATCAATCTGGTCAACAAAGGGTTCAAAGAGGAGCTCCATGGTCAAACTCACATGTGGTCCCCTTTCCGACTAATCTAGGCGGCTAGGTTAGTCCTAAATGAAAGCTAAAGCTCTCTAATAGGCTCCTTAACCAAGCCCAATATATGCCTAGTTTAGCCTTAAATGGCAGTATTCCCCTCCCCCCCCCCCACACACACACACACACCTCCTAAAACTAACCAATGCCCCCCCCCCCCCCCCCCACCTCCTAAAACTAACCAATGGTTAGATGGTCTTTGACAGCCTTTCTCATTGCCACCCAACGGCTTGGGACACTTTTCCTCCACCAGAGAGAGGTCTCTGATGCACCACAACCATCCAAACTAACCCAGATCGTTTGAATATGGAAAAATCTCATTTTTGGGGATCATTCATAATCTTACCTTCTCTCACTTCCTATAGCATCCCAGATCGAGCTCTCTGTTCGTTTCAACTCTCCAGGCTCTCCTATATCTCCTCGCTACCAAACCCAAGTGGTTGCACGTCACCAGCAGCGAGTTCTCCGACGAACCAACCACCTAGTTCGTCCCAGCCTTGTAGCAGTCGATC